CAAATGTACACTAAAATTTGCAAAAGTGCACCAAGATCTGCAAATGTGCACCAAGATCTGCAAATGTGCACCAAGATCTGCAAATGTGCACTAATATCTGCAAATGTGCACAAATGTACACTAAAATTTGCAAAAGTGCACCAAGATCTGCAAATGTGCACCAAGATCTGCAAATGTGCACCAAGATCTGCAAATGTGCGCCAAGATCTGCAAATGTGCACAAATGTGCACTAAGATCTGCAAATGTTCACTTAGATCTGTAAATGTGCACCAAGATTTGCAAATGTTCACCAAGATCTGCAAATGTGACATTCAGAGCTGCTATCATTCTGCATGGAGTTTTCATGTTCTCCCTCAGCATGCGTGGGTTCTCCCCGGGTACTCCGGCTTCCTCCCACATTCTAAAAAACATGACTGTTAGGTTAATTGGCTTCTCTAAATTCTCCTAAGGTGTGTGAGTGACTGGTTGTTTGTCCCGTGTGTCTCTGTGTTGCCCTGCGATGGACTGGGGACCTGTCCAGGGTGGACCCCGCCTCTCGCCCATTGACTGCTGGAGATAGACACCAGCAGCTCTTGCGACCTCACTTGGGACAAGCATGTCAGATAATGGATGGATGGTTTTGATCGCTCCATTACTACTTTGATTTAGAAAAAATAAAGAAAGTAAATCCAGACGTTTCCAGCCCTGAGAAAGCAGCTCATCATGGAGAGAAAACTCAGCAGAGCTTCCAGGAAAACTAGGACTGGAGAAACTCGCTACCAATAAAACCACATGAAGGAATTAATCTGTCCACAGTCTAAATAAAAAGGTCTAAAAGTGTTTAAAGAAGAAAGCCTCAAAGATTCAGAAATGTCAAAATATCTGCATCCCTGCAGGATATTCCTGCACACGCAGCTTCATCTCTCCTAAGAGAAGTCTGGAAAAATGATGAGATTAAAAGACATTAGAGTCTGAAATCTGTGCGGTTATGAATCCATCAGCAGGTCTACAGCGCAGCGGGAAGGATGCGGAGGAACGTTAGGAGAAGATCGGAGACGATTTCAGAATAACAACTTTATAAAGATTAATAATAACAGAGAAGTAAAGGGATAGTAAACGAAAACGCAAGGCAAATGGGAGCGAAAATAATTTATTCAGTTTGTTTTTTATTAACTTCATGACTAAATAATCTGCAAAACTTGGAACTAACTTTATTGAAATAACTTTGTTTTTATACTAAATACAGTGTTTAAATTCAATAACGTAAAAAACTCAGAATTCTGACATTATCTTAAAATTCTGACCTTTTTTTTTTATAGATTTCTGCCTTTAAAGGTCAGATTTAATGAAATAATTTCTAAACAAGTTGGAGAATTTTTCACCTGAACTCCAATTTTTCTTCTTTCCTCGGAATAAAATCTATAAACCTGATGGTAAAAAAATAGACTGATAAATTCTGAGTATCATCTTACCGTACATGATGATGGCTGGTTCAGCTCACATCCACACACAGCTGGAGTTAATCCCCTCCATGGCGTGGAGGCTCCGCCCCCTTCCATTCATAATTATCCTGCCTGATTAGCAGCGGCGCCTGATTAACCATCTAAAGCACGGTTCAAACCCACCTGGGAACGGGTCTGTTCTGTGATCCTGGGGCGGGACGGCGGGTCTGTGTCAGTGAATGTTGTTCGGTGGGAGATCCAGGTCATGTGCTGCAGCTCAGCGCTCAATAATCTGCTCTGGATTTATTCGCCATATTACAGGAATCTGCAGAAAGCTGGAAGCTCTGAGCTTTAGTGGGACAAACGTTGGGTTATATAACAGGAAACCTGCTGTGGGTTTTCTAATAAAGGAATTTATTCAATCATTATTAGAGCTTTTTTTATTATTTAATCTTTTAGGTTTAGGTTTTGCATATATTATTTTTATTATCCACTATGCTGCTTTGATTAAAAAGGAAAATAAGAGGATTAAAAGACCTCATAAATAAAACAATAAATATTAGACTCATTAAATGGAGGCTCTGGTGATATTTATGTTTGAATTTAATTATTACACAACTTATAGGATTCTTTGAAATATTATCCGTTTTAATGTCATACGGAAATCATATCTAGATTTTAAATAATTCTGGCTTAAACATGTATATAAATGCACTCTTTATCAGATTATATTGTCTCAAAATGTAGAAAATTTCAAAAAAAAAAAAAAAAATCCTGTCTTAAAATCCTTTTTTTCTCCTCCTCTGTTTCCGCTGTCCATAGCGTTCCTTGACAGCGTCGTTTCTAAGTCACCAATTTAGTGCTACTTGGTCCCAATGGAATTTCCCATTGGGAACCTGCTA